TCCCATACACAACCATCTCCCAGAAACATCAAAGCCTGGCCAGAAAAAGAACAACCCAGTAGCCCTAACAGCTTACAGAAACACTCACTTTCAAGTAATGGGAACATCTGATACTACATGAAAGGATGAGATTTCCTCCCCACCAGTGTGGAGCTGATAAATCCCACAGCCACGCCACGCAGCTCCATCAGGACTGCACAAAACTGGTCACTTCTGGCTGTTTCCACACGTAGTTCCTGGCTCGCCCACAGAATGGCAAGGCTGTATTTGCCAGCTGGCGAGGGGAGGTGAAGCCTGGAGCCTGGACATTGCACAGGTGTTCATGTGAACAGATGCAAGACAGAAAGATAGCTTTTACCTGCCAGAAAATAATTAGAAATGCCTTCGCCTGGACATCGTATTTCCATTTGAACAGCCCTTTTTGCAGCCTGAATACACCTTGGTGGCTGTGGAAAGCACAGGAAAATAGCAACGATAATTATGTGCCAGGCAATGAGAGGAGAGCAGTGGCAGCAGGAGCTTGTCCCACTGCGGGGCTGGCCCTGCCACAGCCCGCCCATGCCACCCTGGCACACGGAGGGTGGCTCCTCACCCAAACCACACACCGGCCACAGCGACTGCTCAGCAGGCAAAGGGCTGCCAGCGTGGGTTACAAGCTTGTGTTTAAAATTAAGTGCCTTGCCAGGGCCAGTATAAGGAGTCCAGAACTTGACACTGGAGCAATTAAGCTCCGAGAACACTTTGTAAAGCCCTGACCCCACGAGGCATCAAATCCTGTTTTCTTCGACTTTCTGTCCTGCCTTATGAGCAGTTCATTTCAAGGGGACCATTGCAAAAAGCACCTTTCAGCATCGCCAAGATCAATACTCCCCGTGGCTCCTGCAGCTCGCAGCACCGCCCCCCCGCCCCCCCGAGCCTCTCCCTTAGCCCCCCAAAAGCAGCTGGAGATGCCGACATGACCATTCCCGTGACCTAAGGATGAGGGTAGAAGCAGGAGGTCCCATCAGTGCCCGTTGTGCCCCTTCTCCTGGGGGGAAAGGCTGAGCACATCCCTCCCTGCCTGCCCCTGGGGCGCGGGGGCTCTGGAGGAAGAGGCTCAGTTTATTGTGGCTTTTGCACTGGCGCAGCCATCGCTCTGAAGCGCTGCTTACAATTTCCCAACATCTCCTTCTGAGCTGCCTTGTTAACAACCCAGATCAGGTCTTTCAGGCACTTCCCACTCCTCCCCTACCAAGCAACACACACATGTACACCCGCCTTGATTCTCACTTCCCTGAAGCACATTTTGGCTACCAAAGCAGCACAAGGGGTCTTCAGCAAGAAGAAAATGTTTTCATTCAGATTTGGGATGTTTCTTCCTTCCCTGCTTCAAGACAGGGCTCAAAATGCTGCCAGCTCCCTCCAACACACCCAGCACAAGCCTCGTATGGGAAACAGCTCCTGACTCCCTGCTCCAGCTTGACACTTTGCTTTTCTCCCTGGGGAGCTGCACATGCCCAGCAACGCGTTGCGCCAGCCTCTAGATAATCCCATGTTTCACCCCTTGCCTGCCAAGACGCATTGGAAGAAGTTCACAAAGTCACTGCGAAATGCAAAAGAGGACAAACATCTGCACCGCACTAGTTCAACTACAGGAGAAAAATTAGTCTCTGGTAGGACACAGCAATGGGATTCACAGGTCTTTAAGGTCAATAGTGGGAAAAAGATAAACTGGATAAACTAGCTCTGGAAAACCAGAGCTGAACTCAGCAACTTTCATCTCAGACCTCACAGGGACATTCAGACAGTGCCCAGCCGAGCCGTGGAGCAAGCCTGCAGATCCCCAGAGCTCCCTGGCTGTGCTCCAGAATAGCACTTGTCACCTAAACTGGGGGAAGAACCATTAAACTCCCCTGCTATTCACAGCTTGGCATCTGCTGCTCTTCCCGTTGGAGCTGGCCAGGATGGAGAGGTGTCCAGCACACACAGTCATGCTCCTGACCTGTTCGTACTCCCAACCCTCCATCACCAGTTTTTTGGATCAGGGACTTACTTTTCCTCCTCATTTCCCTGATCCCCAGCATTTCAGACCCAATCCTGACCACCACTTCCAGGCACTGCTGCATTGCAATCAATATAGATGCTAATAATGAACAGCTCTTAGATAACTACTGGCTGAATTGTACACAGGCAAACCTTCCAGTGATCTCTTGCCAATGATCAATACATGTAGAAAAATCAGCTCAGAAACTTGAAGAGACAAAACCAAACCAGGACAGAGCTTATTCCGTGCTGAATAATTTATGGACAACAGCATTTGCTCTGTGAAGGCCATGCTGGGCAGGAGCAGCCACAGCTTTGAGCCATGAAAGGAGCAGGGGGTGTCAAAGAAAAATAAAACAGAAGCGGACTCAACATTTCACGTTGCCGGAGCAAAGTATCCTCAAACCCACCCTGACATTGGTGCCAGCCCCACTGCAAGCTCAGCATGAGATACCCAAGACAAGAGAGGACAAATTTAGTCCCAGACTTCAGCAGAGAAAAGCTTTGCTGTTTCAAGAGGTGGCATGGGGGCAGGAGGAACAAGAAATCCGAGTAATTGGGCTGAACCTTCTATGGCAACAAGGCTTTAGCTTTGCTTCATCCCTGCAGCCCAGCTCCAGCCCTTCATGCACCCCCTGACTCTCTGTGTACCAACCCCTGCCCAAAGCTGTGGCTACAAGTAAAGTCTCCTCCAGGCTTTTACGAAGAACCCAAGATTAACTATTAGCACAACTCAGGATTAATTACACGTGTTCTGCTAAGCTTCCCGCTCGCTGATGTTTGGGCGAAGGCTTATCTCAGCACTCCTCAGAGCCACCACTAATGCCATACCAGTCTGACAGCAGGGATGCTGCTGAGAGGTCTACAAGCACGGAGCAGGATCACCGGCACCGCTCGGTTCTCCCCTCGGGGGGGACCTCTGGTCCCCCTCCAGCACCCACATTAACCCACCTCTTGATGGGCAGCAGGAAGGGCCCAGCAAACACTGGGCTCAGTCTCCAAAGGGAGAGAGGGGACCCAGCTACACCCCCAGGTCCTGCTTCTGCTTGCCCCAGCCCCACCAGCGTGGAGGTGGACCCACGACGTGGGTGTCCAACACTTAAAATGTCATCAAATCCAGGCACAGAACAAGCACTCAGGGAGGCAGGGACAGTTTCTATCACTGGGACAGAGAAGTGCAAGATGTGCAGCCCCAGCCAGGTTCGCTCACTCCCCATCACAGCTACGAAAGAGAAAAGACAGAGGTGCCATTCCCAGGCATACCAGGGGACACCTCCAAATCCACATGAGAAGAGGAGGTCTTATCACGGCCAACCGATGTGGAAGCTCCTGCACTTCTGAGAAAGGTGAAATACTACAGGCAGCAACGCAGCTCTCTCCAGAGTCACTTGCAGGGGGAAACGGATGCTGCAAACCCCCCCGTAAGACTCAATCAGTTCCTTCCCCTCGTTAAACAACCACCATGAGGCTCTTCATTAAAAAACACAAACAAGAACCACACAACAACACAAACCTCCCAGCCATTAACTTTTTTCATCTTTGAGTACACAGATATTATTTAGCATGTCAATTTAGCTCAGCACGCCGCGCAGAGATCACCGTGATGCATGCCCGCCTCTTTGAGAAGCTGCTGCTTTTTGCATTAGGACCAGGATTATTTTTTTGAGTTAATTAGTCGGGAGCTAATTCCATTTGTTAATTCCGAATGCCGCAGGGGCTGGGTTGGGTTTTTTTGTTGTTTGTTTGGTGTTTTTTTTTTTTTTTTCCCCCAGGATTGTTGGTTTTTTTCACTCCCTTCTCAGCACGGCTCATTATGCAGCCGATGCTGGCTTAGCATCGCCCAAAACCTGCCCAGTCCCTGAGGCAGCTTCAGGCTTTTCTCAGTTTATAACCCATCTTAATTTGCATTTTCCCTGGCACTTGCCCTCCACTCAAGATGTCTCACAGGAGGCAAGAAAATCTTATGAGGTTACAGGAGGCAGCAGTGTCAGCCTGGTAATAACAGAACTGCATCAGCAGAGAGGAACGCAGCACACAGTTATCTTCTCATTCTTACTTTTTCCATCTAATATTGGTCCCTCTTGGAGACAGGGTGCTGTCTAGGGACACTTGTAGGGTGGTCTGGCATAGCTGTTTGCATACTCTCACCTTGCATCGCCCCATATCCCATGGCAGAAAAAGCCCATTCCTCTGTGGGAAGTGCCCCAGCAGCAGCAAATTCCCCTGCAGGTCCCCAAGCCACAACCAGCACCTCCTGAGGAGGCACTCCTTGGTGGCTGCCACCTCTCTGCAAGGGATGCACGTTATTTTTGGCAGCCGCCCCAGCTGCCTGCCTTGCAGCAGAGCAGGAAGGGAGGGAGGGACGGAAGGAAGGAAAGAAAGAAGGAAGACAGCAGCCACCGCTCCAATAACACTGGCAAAGCCACTGGGGTCGGGCACAGCCGCGCACAATGGGAAGAGCCAGAGACCTGCAGGACACCTGCATCCTGCAGCCACGTGGCCACCAGCCCTGCAGAGACCATCGCTGGGGAGAAGGGGGGTAAAAGGGAGCCCTTCCCACACCCAGCTCTAGGCAGGCATCTGGGGACACAGGTGATGCTGTGTGCTGACAGCAGGGGACTAATGCTGTCCTGATCCAGCGCCGGGACCAACGGGCAGAGCCTTGCCCCAGATACCTCCACATCAGCCCCATGCAAAGCCCTGCTGCAAAGCCTTACTGCAAAGTCCTTCCCACTCTCCTGGGCTGCAGGAGGGATGGGATCGATCCTAGCTGTGATGCTGGTGGTCTGCACCCACCCAACACTTGTACCAGTACGGCACCAGTGCTGCCCGAGATGCAGGTGGGGGAAAAGCCACCCCTGAGCCTTTGCAGACCTTGTGCCTTGATGCATGACCTCGATGTGATCCACACACACACACGGGGGGGTGGGAAAACCCTCTTGGGGGGTACCGCGGACCCATAGCACTGCAGCACCCACCTCTGCAGCTCCTTCAGGGAGACCGTGACCCTCAGGCTGTGTCCCAGGAGGAAGAGGGCAGCCAGGATGTCAGCCCACTGCACCATCTCTCCCAGAGGGCCCCCCTTCAGCACCCGCGGGCTGAAAACATCCCCCGACTCCTCCGTCAGGAAGCCGATATGGATCAAGATCTGGAGAGACATGGAGAGGGGTCAGTGCTGGGACGGGTGGCGCTGGAGAAAAGGGACAATTTGGGTTTTCCAGCCCAAAATGACTTATGGTCCCCAATTCCCTCCAGCTCCTTTTGCATGCTGTAATTAGGGAAATCAGTTGGGTGTAAAGACAAGTGATCTATGTCCAATTAGCAAAGACCCAATAGTCAGAGTTTACCAGCTCCCATTGACCGGGACTCTGTATTTTGGGACCAGGCTCACGTTCCTGATGTACATCACAGTCCATCCCACAGACCAGAGCCAGATCTCCCGGCACACAGGGACCAAAGGACAGGCCACCACAAAATCACCAAAGGGAGGGCCAGCAACCTCATCACCTCTGCAGAGACGTGCCAGACTCCCTGCCCGCTGCCGTTGGCTGTCTACCAGCTGGACACTGTCTCCTACCCACCAGGACCCGCCTTCAAAATTCACCCCACTGTTCAGCACCACCAGTCCTGTGACATCCCAAACGTGTACAGAGTCACGCCCACGTACCACAGCCCAACCCTGCAGACCCACATGCTTCCATAAATGAATTTTCCTCCCAGCTCGCTCACATCCCAGCTGTCTCCACTCCCTGTGCTCCCAAGGGCTCAGCTTTCCCATCTCCCCACCATGACTTCCCCATGCAATTTGCTCATACGTGTTTCTGGTCCCTTTGCTGGCCCTTCAGCTTCTGCTCGAGGCGCCGAGCCGCCCGCAGCCACTGCTGGGCCAAGTGCCGGATCCTCTTCTTCATGAAGCTGAGGGACTCCTTGCCCGTGCCGATCAGCTCCAGGAGGCGAGCCAGGTCGCTCCGAAAAGCTGCCTGGGAAAGGAGCACGCTCTGCATTTTGAGTGTATGGAAAGCAGCTGCGAGAGGAGCCCCTGGCCTGGCGGAGGTTTGTCCATCGCAGCTGAGATGCTGTGGGTCCTTCCTGGACGGACAGCTTCCCCTGGTGCCCCCAGACCTGACAGCAGAGCCCCTCCACTTCATCCACCAAATCCCAGGGGCCCCGTTGTACCCAGAGCATCTCATGACACCCCAGATTCCTCAGTACAGGAAAGACATGGACCTGCTCGAGAGGGTTCAGAGGAGGCCACAAAAATGATCCAAGGGATGGAACACCTCCCCTTTGAGGCCAGGCTGAGAGAGTTGGGGTGGTTCAGCCTGGAGAAGAGAAGGCTCTGGAAAACCTTCTTGCAGCCTTTCAGTACTTAAAGGGGGCTACAGGAAAGATGGGAGCAGACTTTTTAGTAGGGTCTGTTGCAATAGGACAAGGGGTGATGGTTTTAAACTGAAGGAGGGTAGATTCAGACTAGATATAAGGAAGAAATTTTTTATGATGAGGGTGGTGAGACACTGGAGCGGGTTGCCCAGAGAGGTGGTGGGTGCCCCATCTCTGGAAACTTTCAAGGCCAGGTTGGACGGGGCTCTGAGCAACCCGAGCTGGTTGAGGATGTCCCTGGGCATTGCAGGGGGTTGGACCAGACCTTTAAAGGTCCCTTCTGACCCAAACCACTCTGTGATTCTATGAAAACCCACGTGAGGCATCATGGCCCTGCTGACACTGGGAACATTTATTTCCCTCAGCCTTCAAGCCAACGTCTCCCCCCTCAAGCCCCCCAGAGCCAGCAGGACACAGGCTGCCCCCACCTTACCTGCGCCCGGGGCAGCGGCGGGGGGGAAGGCGAAGCCGCCGTCCGGTTTCGCCACAGCAGGGGAGGGCAGAACCACTCGACTTCGCTGAGGTAGATGAGGAATGAGCACTCAGTGCCGTCCACACCAAAAAACGCATAGCAGGGGTCGGAGGTCCACCTGGCCCTCATCCACTGCGAGGGGACAAAGAAACACGTGGGGCTCGTCCTCGGGCTGGGAGGGGACGTGGCAGTCCTGCGAGCTGCCCCTGCTATGAGCAACCTCTCTCCATCACCTTTCTCTAGCTGGGAGCTGGAAATGAAGGGCAGAGGGTGGATAAAGGGCTGCAAACCAGCATGCTCCCAGCACCAGTGCTGCAGTGCTGGTGTTTGCCCCCCCCCCCCGGCGCCTCCAGGGCACATGGGGCAGAGAAGGAGCCAGAAGGGTTTGCTGGGGGCTCCCCGGGTTTCTAGCACTGGTTCCAGCACCACCACGTGCCTTCCCCAGGGGCACAACCATTAATCCCTAGGAAATTATACACCACAGGGTTTTCTTCTCGTTAGCTTTGCTGGGGAGCGAGCCGAGCTGCTGATCTCATTGCTCCAGGCGCAGCAGGGCAAGGAGACAGATCCACCAGTGGTCCCCGAGGATGACTTCACATGAAGGAGAATAACCAGCAAGCAGAGCAGTGATTTATCATCCCCTGCAACGGCTCTTGCCAGCCTCTTCCTAATTCAACTACAAAACCAAATCTACTCGGGAGACAGGTCACTGCACCCAATATGTAAAATGCAGCAATCACCCAGATAGGAGATCGAATTACAGCCTTCCACGATTAAATTACATTCCGAATTTATTCAAATTGTGGAAGGAAAGGATGCCTAGCACCAGGGGAAGAGGAAAATACAAAGTCCCTAGTATCATTTTAATACACATCTTTTCAGGGAGACTGAGCCCTACAAAAGCCTAAGCTTGAAGCAGAAGGCTAGGAAGAGGAGGGAAGAGAGAGATGCTTTTAATTAGTTCCTGTAAATATGCTCTCTGACAAAGCAGTCACGCTCTGGGCCAAATGTCAGGCTATATTCAGGTTTAAAGAGCAGGCCAGGTCAGGCAGGACATCCTATTTGAGATGGAGGTCCTGGCCACCTTAACAAGATACTCTTCTGTGCAATGCTGAGATTATTCTCCAGACATGACCTTACACTCCAGATATTTAAAAACGATGTGACAGCACTTTCTCCTCACCACGCTTCTGTCTTTAAACACAGAAACTACAGGCAGAGAGGGCTGCAGGCACAGGCGGTCTCACAGAGCTGGTTCTGCTGCTGCCTGCACACCTCGGCACCATGTCTTCAGAGCTTCACACGAAGGTATATGCCTTATTATTGGGGGAAAACAGTTACATTTGTATAGCAAAGGCTCCCAGAGGAGCCTGGACACCTCCCTTGTGTTTTCTCCTCACAGCACATCCATGCTTTGCTTTCCACATCTTTGGCTCTGTTCCTCTTTCTGCAACAGGCTTCACCTTTCTCATTTTAAAGCAAACAGTTTTATTCTGGAAAGAATCCCTCTCCCCACTGCCCTTCCCACTCTAACCCCCAGAGTCGTCGCTTTGTGCCCTTCCCAGCAGCTCCCACCCCAGGTCGAGACCCTCTCCCAGACAGGGAACCCCAACTCACCTCCACTTTCCCAGCGCAGTCAGGGTACTTGGGGTCCCTGGGCACCTCGCACTGGTCCCTCCTGCCTTCCACCACTGCAGAAAGACAATTTTGGCATGGGGAGAGCTGGGATGTGCTGGCAGAGCAGCGGGATGGGATGGGGCTGCCAGCCCCCAAGCACATTCATCGGCACCGCAGCTGGGCTGGCAGGCAACCCCATCCCACTTGATGTAGCAGGACAACAAGATGTGAAGCATCTTCCTCAAGGTCACGGAGGAAACAGAGGAAACCCCCCAGCCCTGCTTCGATGCTGAGAGCACACTCCCCTTTCATAAATCTCAGCAGGTCTCTTTACAACACCTCCCTGCAGCTCTCAGCCTGGTCCAGACCCCAGGTCTCACCTACCCATGTTCCTGTTAATCATCCATAAGCAGGCTGCAGTATCTAAGGAAGCGCTTGACAGCCTTTACACCATAAACTTGCAATAAAAATTGTCCTGCTGAGCAGATGAGAGAAAACTAATCACTCAGGGTCAACCCCAGAATAAGGCACAAAAGTAGCTAAAAAGGTAATAGGATCTTTTATTTCTCTGTGGTTGGATCAATAAAAGACACCACCCCTCCCATAAGTCCTCCTTTGCCTATAACGGGAAAAGAATGAAGTGGAAGAGGCAACAGAAGCATCTTCTACTTGATGATGCCAGTCCAAACCCCAGAAACCATGCAGCCATGTGGATAAACATCTGGAGAGCCCAGCTGCTCTCCCAGCACTACCGGCGTGGGATGGGAACATTTCTCCTGGCACTGGATCCCAGCCCCTATGCTTTGGATCCAAACCACCACAATTTTCTATCCAGGTGTTTGTACTGGCACTGCTCCTCATCTTTAATTCTGCATTTAATTCTGTGGCATTTATTTCTGACAGCAGTTCAGATTTGTCACCATTCCTCCCCCTTGCAGGCATAAGTTTCCAAGATCTTGCTCCTCTACAGATTGATCTCCCCCCGCTCTTGAGTCCTCTTGGGCCAAGTGAGGCTACACTTTTAGGAGAACATCACTGCTGTTCAGAGACCATGGAGCAGGGTTCCCTATGCAGCCTGCTTTTCCAGCCTTCCTGGCTGTAATAGCAAGATGAGAGTCCTGGAAACCTCCGAGAAGGCTCAGACCACACTCAGGACCTCTCCTCCCGCAAAGAGATGGTGTGACCATATGCTGCAGCTGCACAGAGCTGGACACAAACAGCCCTAGGAGGTCTGCCAAAGAGCTTCAGGTGCCCTACTTAGTCCTGCAGAAGGAGTGAGCTGGGTAACCTCAGACCAGCATCCATTTCCCTGCATTTTTACCAAATTTTTTGTGGTAGGTTTGGCTGGATCTCCCTATTGCAACTGCAAAATGCATAAGGAGGTTTGGAGCACGGGGACCCCTGGGGACACTCACCTTTCCCGTTCAGGAGGCTGTTCCGGAGAATCTGATCTACTTTTATTGCGATGTCTGAGACATTTTGAGCTATAGCTTGGATCCTCTCCATCAGCCCGGCTGCTGGCTGGAACCTGGGAAAAAACAAACAAACAAACAAACAACTAATAGACCCTGAAAACTTGATGTTTCCCAGTGGTGACATGACCCCCAGGGGTGCTGACAGCAAACTTGCCATCCTTGGCATCTGCCAGCAGGTTGAATTTAGCTCCAGGAAGGAACATGGGAACGCCTGGTCCAGTGTGCACGGGGCAAAGAGGTCACTGCCCTCCAAGAGGTTTCATTAAAAATCTAAGTAAATCAGTACTCCGTCATTTTTCATGGTGTGCTGATGATAAACACAGACACATCTGTGCATTTTACATGGGGAAAAATTAAATAGGCTGGAAAAAATTGTTTTTCTTATTTCAGATGTGCTACGTTTGAAAATCCTCCACTGTGAATATTGGCTTTGTGGTGCATGTAGGAAGCTGTGCTGGGAAAAAAAGGGATTTAAAAAAAAAAAAAAAAAACAGAGAAAGGAAGGAAAAACCGGAGGAGGGCTGCGGATGCTTGTGGGCCTGGGGCAGACTGTCAACAGATGCAAAACACGCAGGACACGTGGATGCCCTGAGCCAGACCATCCACCAAAGATTTAGGCGAGCAGATTTCCAGGTCCTGGGCCAAGGGCTGTGCAGGGACAGGGTGCTGGGGCGAGCACTGGCAGCACTGCATGAGCCAGGCTTGAGCTGGGCATCGCAGCCCCAGCAGAGCCCGCAGGCACCTTCCCACCAAGGCTTGAGATCAGATTCCATCGCTTTGAATCGCTGCATATGCCATCTCTCAAATTAAACCTCGCAATCAATACCGTCCTGGGTAAACAGCACCATTAAACTCATCTACATAACACATTGTGTAGGCGGAGCGACAGAGCACTGTAAAGAGGCCAGGTGTCAATTAAAACCTGGTGTAATATATAAAAGGGTAAGAGAACTCAATCCATCAGCAGCGGTGCCCTGCCAGGCTTGACAAGGAGCAAGCTCTCCACCCCCAACGCCTCGCCTGCCACTTCCACCACAAACAACCACGTCTCGACGAGCACGGTTACCGCAGTAAATAATTTCCCCTTCTGCAGCATCTGGGTCATAAGTTTTTCCTCCTGCTGCTGCCGAGATCATTATTATACAAGGAAATATCATAAGCAGTGAGCACAACCGAAAGGGCTACACCTTGAATACTCTTGGCACAAAAAATATGTGCTGATGTCAGGCCCTTCCCGGTGAAGTTTTATGTTTGTTCTCCAGCAGATCAGTGAACCCAAAGGCTGGGATTTAAAGTACCTCTGTCCTCAAGGCTAAAAAAATCCTAGTTTTATGAACCGATACTGCTTCGGTTGTTGATTTAAAGTCCATTCGCTAGCAGCAAGCAGCCCACATTTTTCCTTCTGGCATGGTTTATGACCATCAATATTCAGCCTGCATACCTCCACAGGGAGCCACATATCTTAGGCTTTTAAGAAATAATAATTAAATGCAGAGGACACCATTGCCCCCAAGTAACTTTCAACCTTTGCAGAGAATAAACCCCAGGTATCCTGCCAGCTACTGTAACGGCAGCAGCAGGGTGGTTGCTCATGAGACCCTGGTAAAATATGGGCACAGAAATGACCTACGATAAGCTCTGCCTATCAGCGTGGCTCTGAGGAGATAAAATGCTCCCAGTCTGAGGGCTGCACGGCTCAGCCAGCTCTGAAATCTTGCAAACCTCACATTTCTGCAACACTTTTTCCACCAGCAAGCAGCCATCAGACCATGCGGGTGATGCACAGACACTCAGTAAACCCAGAACACCTGGGATGGGCAATATAGGAGCAAATGTCACAAAGACGCAGTGAGTTTAGAGCCAGTGAGCCCAACCTCCTGCTCCAACAACAAGAGAGGGATGTTGGCTTGGTGGAGATGTTCCTCAGGTTTCTTCATCACTCGTGGCAAGGAGAGAGGACAAGCACAGCCATGGCAGCCCTGCTCCCACTCTTCAGAGCACCTAGATTAGCCCACAATCCAACTTCTGCCTCCTCCTAGAAGCTACCCCAATTCTCACTGGGGTCCAAAACCGCTCCCAAACACCCAAGTAATCAGGCAAACCTCAAAAGTCAACAGCAGCCTTGGTCCCCATCTCCTCTCTGACGACCTCCAGACCTCAGCTCAGCCAGGGCTCAGCACTGGGCACCCACAAACACATTCAAACAAAAATCACGACTATTAACCTAAATAAATGGCTTTCTCCCAGGCGCAGCCTTGCAGCCAGCCTAAGTCCTGCCAGCACTCTGGCCACAGCAGTGGTTTCCACTGGGTGATGGATCTGGCCCAGCATCTATGCCAGCTTGCCCACCTCTTGTGAGCTGCAGCTGCTCCCCAAACACAAAGATTTTAACTCGGACACCTTTGGTGTTAAATATATGTCTGATCATTGCACTCAGATAGCACTTCCAGCTCTCGCAAAGAAGACAGCCATGTCACATAGGCTCCGTGAGGCTTTCCCCAAAACACAGAGGGTTACTGCAAAGTGACACAAAAAATGTCCAACATGGTTCTTGGCATATATTAAGAAGATGGAAAACTGGCAGAAAACGTCCCTCCAAAATAAGGAACCGGGGTCAAATTTCCCACTGCTTGCATACTCATCACCCTTACGCGTCAAACTAGTTTTCTCCAAATCCCCATGACTTTGAGCGAGGGATTTCATTCTTGGGGTGAAGAGCCATGCTCCCACGTCGGGAGCACTGACGGCCTTGGTGTTAGCACTAGCATGGGCAGCACAAAGTCAGCTGCCTCGGTGTTGCTATCTGCTGGGCAACAAGGACCTCACTTGATAAGAAAATTACATTTAACGTATTAAAGAGATGACAAAAAGGTTAAGAGTAAGTTACATCACCTATCATTATAGTGATTTGTCATCTGGGCAGAGGACAAGAAAATAAGACATTTAAAGCAAAACCTCAAACACAAAAAGGCTTTCTGGAGCTCGTCAGCATTTGATGCCTTATTCTTAGTGACTGGAGACACTGGGAAGGACAAGGTAACTGGCGGCTTCTGCTCAGTGACAGCTAAGCAGAAGGGGAATATCCCACCACGTGCCTCCATCCGAGCTGGGATGGCAGCACGGCCTCCGCCAGCCCAGCGGAAAGAACAGCTTGCTTCCAGCGCTACCACTGCACAGGGAGCAGCAATAGGCTTTTTTTTTTTTTCCTTGTTGCTTTTTAAATTTTTCTATAGTGACAATATAAATGCCACCAAAATGTGCTGGGGCTGTGCCAGCTATTGAAACTATAGTAAATTACTATGGGTTTTCTAGAACAAATTTTTCCCTGGGACCTTAAAACCGTTTACTACAGCAAATACAGTACTTTTACTTCTAACCATCAATATTGATTTCATCTTTATTATTTTCAGATTTATATTTCCCCATGTTGATGAAGATTCAGATCACACTGTGCTTGATAATGCACTGTATACAGTATTCATCTCGTTTCAAAAACTGATATTAAGATGTATCTTTCCCCACTGGCAGATCATTTGCCATATAATATAGCCAGAGGTTGAGTTTTCCTTTACTTTTTTATGCATTAATTTGGTTCCCTTCACTTTGTCTCTTGTCCCCAACTCCACGGCAGCAGCTCAGATTCAGCCTGTTTATCTCTTTACAAGTCACTGTATTTTTATTGCCTTTTATAAAAGTGGCATTATGAAAAGATGAATCTCTTTCTATTTGTGTGTTGTCTTCATAATACAAGCCCTAAACATATTTGCTTGCTCATCCGATATTTCTTGCTATTAACTGGTGAAAGCAGGGACTTTGGGAAGACCAATACAGATGGAGAAAAGCAGATGTTCTGAAGATAATGCATCAACAAATGCAACATTCGCACAGAGCAGTTTACCAAAGGATTTCAACTTGCTCATTACAATGCCTGCACTGGCATTTGCCTCTCTAAAGACTTTTTTTTTTTTTTTTTTTCCCAAAGACCCAAGGCAGAGCAGAAAGCAGCTGGGGAGGGTGCACAGGGTTGGTGCTGGGCTCTCAGCGCTTCCCTACTCTGGCAACACAAATCACTCCCCAACATCCAGCCCCACGACAGCCTCGCTCTCCAGGCCAGGGAGCTGAGATCCCAGAGGCGGCACTGATGGATAACCCTTCCCAGCAATGAGAAAAAGGCCTTTCCCGTCCTCCTGGCTCCTGTTGCAGCTTTTGAGGCACTGCCTGTTAAAACAGCTGGGGTACGTCCTGGAGAAACAAACCCCCAGGGCATCTCCAGCCAGTCACCCATGATCTTAGGCTCCTCTCCCCATCCACCCACCCTGGTGGGATGAGCTCAGAGTTGCCCAACAACCAGCGGGGGACAAGCTGAGGAAAGCCAAGTGGTGCCCCCGGGGACGTGGGGAAAAGCCTGCATCCAAGTGCTGGATAACTAAAAAAGGTGATTTGAATCTTTAAGAAGACAGAGCAATTAAAAGCTTTGCTCCTCTGGCGTAACAGGATCCACGCAGAACTCATTGATGCTGGAGGCAAAGCTTTTCTGGAGAATTCACGTCCTTGTGCTCATCTCTGCAACCTCTCTGAGGTGGCTTGCACACGAAAGGCTGGGAGCCAGGGCTGCCCACGGGGGAGAGAGCAAGGACACAAACACGGACACACAAGGGGGTTACCAGGCAGCTGATGCTCTCCCTAAAACCGGGGTCACAGTCCCCTGACACCGATGCTCCCCATGGGGGGTGTAGTGGCAGCGATGGCCAGGAGGGTGCCCTGCTCATGAGGCTCAGCTGTGTGTTTTCTGTTTATTTGACTTGTAATCCTGGTTTTTAATCCTCCTAACTCTGGTGCTGGAGCTATTACCCTAAGCTTGGATAAACAACCTTGGCTTGGTTTGAGCTGGTGGTCCGTGCAGTGGGTGGGGAGGATGCAGGATGCCGTGATGGGGAGCACAGGGAGGGTCCCATGCCCTGCTCCGCTTGGGGAAGGCTCAGACCCCCAGAGAGCAGAGCAGAAACCTGAAGCCCTGGTCGCTATCAGCTTGGCAGAAATTTATAGCAATATT